AGAGAGAGAGAGAGAGAGAGAGAGAGAGAGAGAGAGAGAGAGAGAGAGAGAGAGAGAGAGAAAGAGAGAGAGAGAGAGAGAGAGAGAGAGAGTGTGAACGCACTCGGAGGAGAGAGAGTGTGAACGCGCACGCGCGCGCGAGAGAGAGAGAGAGAGAGAGAGAGAGAGAGAGAGAGACGACGCGGAGCGGCGGACCGACGGCGCAACGGAGCGGGTGATGGCGTCAGCGTCAGGACGGCCAGGGGCGGAGCGCACGCCGGCGAAGGCGGTCGGTGGAACTAAAAATTAACCGCGCGTTCAATTTGTTTGAACGCGCATTCAATTGCTGAATGCGCGTTCCAACGCGGGTGCAAGTTATCCTCCCTGCGCTGTTCGGAGGATGATGGGAACCCAGGGTGCCAGTTGGGGGAGGCGCACGGGATTTGGGACTCCGGTGGACATACCGCAGCGCGACTGATCGGTGACGACATTAGCGGACGGCCACAATGGGGCGGGGTCAGGCCCGCGTGTTTGAGGACGAGGGGGACGATGAGAACCTCAAGGCGAAGAAGAAGAGCTGTGTGTACAAGTATGTCCGCGTGGGACAGAGTCTTGGCGACAGGTACCGCGGGAATCGGATGATGAAGTGCATTTTTTGTGGGCACGAGTTCCAGGGCAACCAGTTTGTTGCGGGCCGTCATTTTCGGCAGGGCAAGGGATATCCCTCGGTGACCGACGAGGCGCTCGTCGACATACACTATAACACCGACTACAAGCTGGAGGGGAGGATTTTGGAGCAGATGCAGCGGTTTGAAGAGCTTCACGGTCCGGTGCCCGCGATAGATCCGCGGCGGGATGAGGGAGGGGCGGAAGAGATGAGGGGCGACGAGGAGCGGATCGACGTGGACGACGTCGTCGAGGAGGTTGTGCGGGAGTTGCCGCCAAGGAGAGACCTGGGGAAGGGGATTGTCACCGAGCTGGGGGGGCAGCAAGGCCAGTTCTTTAAGAATTCGCACGTGTCGGCTCGCACACGTGCAAACGTGGATACGAACGAGTCGGGTTCATCTACGGGGAAGAGGAGGGAGACAGAGAAGGGGGCGCGGCCGCAGGTGACGAAGAAGAGGCTTAGACAACAACCGATTACAGAGTCATTCTCTTTGCAGTGGCAGATGGAGTTTAGGAAGAGGTGTCTGAGGTTTGTGTACAGTCAACGCCTGGCGTTCAACATCTTCCGGAGCGAGCCGTGGTTGGACGTAGTCCGGCATTTCAGGGATTTGTCGGGTCCAGTGAAGGTTTTTTGGCCTTCAGAGAACGAGATTGCGGACATAGAGACAGTTGTCCGCACGACGGACGATGTGGCGGCTGATCTTGTGGAGGTCAGGGCTTCATTTTATGCCACAAGGGCCACCTTCATGTCAGATGGCAGGAAGTCACGCGATGCTAAACCCATCGTTAACTTCCTTGCCGGCGGGTCGCGTGGGGTAATGCTGATCCAGACAATCAACAGGGAGGGTGAGCGGGACCGGGCGAAGGATGTGTTGGCGCGGTGGATCAAGGTGTTTGATGACTTCCCCCCGAAGTGGGTGAACGCCATCTGCACCGACTCTGCCTCGGCGTACGTCGCCGCGGCGAACATGCTCCAGGGGCCTGAGCAGAGGCAAGAGCATCGTCAGATCACGTGGCTCCCATGTGCAGTGCATGTCTGCAACAAGATGTTGTCAGACATTGGCTGCTCGAGCGCGTGGTCCAAGGACATTATCGTGTGGGGGAGAGCGGTGGTGCGCTTTATTAAGGAGCACGGCGCCGCTCTTTATATCTTCAGGAAGGAGAGCAAGCAGATGGGCCTCATTTATCCGTGCATGACACGTTTCGCATCCGTGTTCTCGATGATTGAGCGTTTGCAGGGAGTGAGGTCAGCATTGGAGAGGACGGTGGACGGCGATGGTTGGGGTATGGTCCCTTGGGACCATTCCGTTCGTTAGTTGGCTAGCTGGGTCAGGTGGCAGGTGCGACATGACCCTTGGTGGGATTCCATGGTTGTCCTCTTCCGTATTATGGAGCCTGTGTACGACATGCTGCGCAGGTTGGACCGTGGAGGGCTGCACATGTCGCGGGTTGTTCAGTGGACGCAGGATGTGACACGCGAGGTGGCTAGGGAGGTTTGTGCACTTCCGGCGGATTCTGCACACTACATTGTGCAGAGGGTGCAGGCTCGATGTGCGCACATGTAGGAGCCGGCCCACGCCGCTGCTCACCTTCTTTGTCCCTGCCGGCGGGACTTGAGGTACTACGAGGGCGTGGTGAGCAGCTACGACGCGAGCTTGGTGAGGGAGGCGGAGGCTTACATCTTGCCGTAGACAGGGTTCAGTGTAGCGAGCCCCGAGTACGAGACCACATGTGAGCAGTTGCGCGACTTCCACACACGGGGAAGGGTGATTGCGTGGGGCAGGAGGGACGGAGCCCGAGAGGCACAAAGGTGCACCGGCGACGTGGAGACGTATGAGGCCGGGTGTTGGTGATCGAAGTGGGGACAGTGCAGCCCGCAGTTGCAGGTCATCACTCTTCGTGTTATGTACATGTGGACGTGCTCCTCTCCTGCGGAGAGGAATTTGGCCGTCCACGAGGGTGTACAGACGAAGAAGCATAACTGCCTTGAGTTTGAGAAGGTTGCGAAGTTGGTTGAGATCTCAGCCAACAACAGAAAAATCCCCACAAGAAATGAAAGTTGAAAAAATATTTCATAAAAAAAAAAATCCTTCATATTCATAAATTATCATTCCAATGTTCTTCCAATTCTAAAATTTACAGTTTCATTTGATAAATTCTCATCTAAATATGAGCTTTCCCTTCCAACTACATCTATTTGTTTAAGATGGAATGAAAGTCTGGATGAGTTTATGAAATGTTTTTAATTAAACTTTCATTCTATTACAACAAATATCTTCTAATTTAGATTGGATTAACCTATTTATGAATGGAAATCCTTACTTAGAATGACAGTCCAATGAAAATATTTCATGAACTCATCCAAACTTTCATTCCATCTCTAGCATTTAGTTCAAATAAGAAGGGATACCCCATTCTTGGAAGAAAAATTTTCAAGTAAGACGGGAAATTTTAAAATTGGAATGACATTTTTTAAAATGGAATGAAAATTTAAAATTTAGAATGTAATTTTACTATAGAATGATAATTTAATTCTGAAAATTTTTTCTGTTGAACATCCGCCTTCTCTCGCATCAGCGTGCAGGCCGCGGGTTTGCGCTGCCGTGGACTGTAGATGAGTCCATGTTGGACGTGGCGGGAGGCCTCAGGACTCGCCCCTCGTGGAAGGGGATGGACGAGAGCAGGACGCAGGAGGACCTTGAGTCTAAGAGACATTCATGGCAGCGAGACCCGTGCGGGTCGAGAGCTCCTCCGAGCGAGGTGGCATATGTTTTTGGGACTCGAGCCGCCACATTGCACCCGTACCCTCGAGACGACAGTGATTCCGAGGGTCACGAGAACGAGGACGAGCGGGCGGGCACCGCTACTGCCACTAATGCGCCACAACAGGGTTCTTCACAGGACTTGATTCGCAGGGCGAGGAGGAGTTAGGTGGTCCGTATGGGAGCCCTGTCGAGCGACAGAGGCCTTCGTCACATGGCCTGCGGTCCATTGAGCGAGAGGGAGCTCCTCGATCTGCACCTTCGAGGGGGGCAGAGTCGGGTTGTGGTAGGGGGGTCCCTGGCGAGGGTCCTGCGCATGTCTGTGGTGCCTTGCACAGACTGGTGAGGGGCCCGAGACAACGATTGGAGGACAAATTAGCGGGCAGTCCTTCACAGGCCGAGGGGGACGAGAGAGATAGACAGGGGTTGTCTGCTGGAGACGGTGCTGTGTTGAAAGCAGGCGGAGGCGGTGGCGAGGATGCCGCGGCGGTTGAGGAGGGCGATCATGGGAGTGTTCATGATGAGGGGATATCGGCAGGCGGCAGAGGGGGTCTGAGCGAGTTGGGACTGTTTGGTGACCTGGGAGTGCCCCCGGGAGAGAGCGAGTCTCGGGGGGACATCAGTGCAGGCATGCAGGACGTATTAAGACAGATCAGCGCCCTGCACCCAGATACTTTCTCACCTGCCATGCACGACGAGTTGATGTCGTCACCGCCTGAGGCAGAGGGAGATGAGGATCGCACACCTCTTGGAGAGACATCTGAGGAGAGGTTGGATAGGCTTGAGAGTCGTTGCCTCATGGCACGAGCGGACCTCAGGACCCAGGATTTGGCCCGTATTGCGGCTGAGGAGCGACAAAGACAATTGGGGACATTTCCGCCGGCGTCCCTTCGAATAGAGACAACTGCCCCCATGGATCCTCCGACAGGGGATCGCGATAAGACGTAGGGGGAGGGAGCTTTGGCAGAGGCATCGAGCATGGGAGGGGATGATGAGCAGAGGGAGCCGCGCGAGAGTCACGAGACAGGGTTGGCACCACTAGAGGACCGACCTCTGGTGCCTGACCAGACTCCCACCGACGAGCAGAGGCCCGAGGGGGCGTTGCATGACGCCGCCGACGTGCCTCTGCCCGCGGTTTTGGATGAGGGTGTCGTGCACATGTCCCCGGGCTTAGAGGACATACAGACAGGGCAGTCGGTGGGCGTTGATGTTGTTCGACCCTCTGCACAGGCAGAGGGCACAACACCGACCACCGGGGGGGGGGAGGACGTGCAGAGGAACGTTCATGCTAGTGGGGCGGGACGAGACCTCGCACAGGTCGATAGCGAGGTTATGGGTAGAGAGGCAGAGGGCACAACACCGACCGCCAGGCGGGGGGGGACGTAGCCGAGGACGTCCATGCTAGTGGGGCGGGACGAGACCCCGCACAGGTCGATAGCGAGGTTATGCGCAGAGAGGACGTGGGAGACAGGCGTGACGGAGACAGAGAGACGACGTCGCAGACTTTGGTGGTCCGCACAACAGTGGGCCCGGTGGTGCCACATCAGGCAGCGTTTCTGGTGGATCCCGGGCGTCGTGCACATGGTGGTGGCACGGTCGCGGAGCGACGAGTACGCAGGGGCACGTGCATACCTTCGGTCCCTACTTTTGCGCCGTCACGGGAGAGGCTGCATATTAGGTATGTGGCCACGCCTCGCGGCAGCCTCCCTTTTTTATGTATGACTGTTGAGGAGTTGGAGGCGCACGGCGGGATGGATTTGACGGAGACCGACAGGCGGTGCTTCAGGAGGCCTCCGCAGGTTGGGCGTTTGCCTCACGTGCAGGACTTGTCTTTGGGGCCAGCTAGCCCTAGCTTACCTTTAGGACGTTCTGTCGCGGCGCGGCCTCACGGCGCAGCAGGGCCATCCTCACCAGCGAGCACCCCAAGGTCGGCTGCCCGTAGACGGATAGACACTACTGACCATGCACGGGAGTCGCACGACACTACGTTGTTCGGTCGCACTGATAGGCCATGGAGTGAGACGAGACGGGTGACGACGGCGAGCGCCAGTCGTCAACCAAGTTTGAGAGGGGTTTCCAGGAGCATGGGTGGTCGAGATGTTGTGGCATCTGGGTTTGGCAGTAGAGGCGATAACATTGGGTGCATGCATAGCAGACACGAGGGCATAGACGGTGCAACGCCGGGCGCGGTACATCCGCCGTTGACGTTTGGTTTGAGAGAGGCTTCGATGATTTTAGACGAGCCTGATGTTGTGACACGAGCGAGGCAGGCCTGACACGTGCCCTTAGATCGACGACAAGAGGGGGAGACATCAGGGACAGATGGTCTACCTATGCGTGATGAGTCCCGTCGACGTGTTGATCTTGCGGACGCATTTATCCCCCCGATAGCCAGAGGCAGGAGAGTTATTATGGACGATGACGAGCGACCCTCCCGAGCCTATCACAGCTGGACGCGGCGGGCATCGTCAGAGAGGGCGAGGACGTGGCACTGGCGGGTCACACGGACGAGGTTTTCATGGGTCCCGGCGGGTTTCGCGCGCAGATGACGATCGTTGATGGTGCACGGAGTTGCGTTTTGTTGCCTTTCTTCGACGGAGGAGCTTTTTTGGTATTGATGACACACATAGTGTTTTTTTATGTTGTATTCTAGTTCACTTTACAGTCGGAAGTTTTTTTTTGCAGTTCACACATGGTTGCATGATGTTGTATTCTAGTTTGCTTTGTGGTCGGTTGTTTTTTTGGGCATTTCACATATAGTTTCCTTCGGTACTTTTCCGATTGTATCTTTGTAGTGTATCGTGTGTTCTACTTTTTAGTTGACAGTTTCGAGTCAGTGCTTCTTTCGATGGAGTGGTGGGTCTTTGACACGACATGTCAGATTTATGCTATTATCCATGCTATATTGGTTTGTGTTCTGCTTCGATTATGTCTTCACGTTTGCAATGTTTCTGTTTTTTTAACGATGAGTGTTGTGTGTGCAATGGTGCGGGGTGGTGTTGCCGGCCGGTGGGTGCATGTGGAGGGTGGTGTCGATGGTCTTTTGCGGGCGTGGTGACGTAGTTGGGGGGTTCTGGTTTTGGGGGGGGGGGGGGGGGGCTCTTATACACATCTAGATGTGTATAAGAGACAGGGGG